AAAAAATAAATTTATTTAATTGTGTAAAAAATAAAATAAAATAAATTTTTATTTAATCTAGCTAAAAAAATTAAAATATTAAAGATATGTTTAATATTGCTATTACTTAAACAATTGAAAAAGGATAAAATAGTCTTTTGTTCATTTATCCTATCCAGTCCGTCCAATCAAACATTGGATTCAATAAAAATAGTCCTTTCCAGACATCTAATCCCATGAAAAAACAAACACGGGATACAAATCCAATCCAACCAAATAGTCCGGGGGATTCACAGTCACAGGACTCAAGTCCGATGGATTCTAATCCCCCTTATCCAATCCGTCCAATCAAACACACCCTAATTGTAATAAGCAACTTACCTTTGGCATTATAATAAGCAACTTGGAGTTAATATTATTGAGTGTTATATAATATATAAATGACCACAATAAAATATTACTTCATGATAAATAAGATTATACAATTGTTATATTCTCTTTTATAGAAAAGAGATAAGGTTGTAGATTCATTAGGAAACAAAAAGAAAGAGGTAAAATATTGAAGAAGAATGGAGAGACTTTGAGGATGAGGCTGTGTTGAATTTCCTCTCCACCAACTTTGCCTATAAAGCAAATGTTTGCTAGATGTGTTCATATATCAGAATCAATAAGAAAATGAGCACTTACTCTCTTTTGGCCCAAGTTCTCTATTACTCTCTTTTGGCCCTCATTTTCTCTTTTATTATTTTAGTTTTATAACACAAACTATTTATTTCAAATATTAACCAAATATAATATTACCAATTACATTAATAGAACCAAAAAGTCATCAAACCCACAAGCTTCAACCTAGTTTTCCAATTCCGATAATCGACTTCTAGCCAAAGTAGGGTTGCGCCATCAGATCTCCTCCACTAAAAACAACTCAACTCTGGCAAGCTAATAAGAGCACATCTAAAAGTGCAATCTGACAAAGGAACACTTCGAATCAACAAAGAGTTCTTCAATTTGACAGTGCAAATCGGTGGCACATATAAGAGTGTACTTTGTCTTGCCATCAATGCAAGAGTAGGTGTAGGCGCATCCAGCATGAAGGACATCTATGATGTCATATCCAAATATGGCTTATGATAATATGACAAAGCTTATGAGGAGAAACATCACATTACCGTCTCTTTGATCTTGCCAATGTTGAATGTTACAGGCACTGTGTAACAATCTTCAGTTTTGTGTTCATAATCTATGGCACATGATAAGGCTCGAGATGTGTCTCAACCTTCAAACCCAATTTCTTTACGATTTCCTCAGATACAACATTCTTACAGCTCCCAATATCAATCACTAATGACCATAATGGGTACACTCCACCCTTGTATGGAAAAATGTATCCATGCTTCAACTTTTCGAGCTCCTTGTCTTCCCTACTAGTAAGCAAGTAATGAGTGAACAATTCCAATTTCCAATAATCTCATCCTAGACACCCTCATCAAATTCAGAATCAAGGGGTTCAACATCCAACTCATCAAACTTTGTTTTTTTGAATTCTTTTGCTTCTACGATATCTTCGTTTTCAATCACAATAACTGACTTAGTCTTATTAATCGTAGAAGAAGGGCAATCTCGGGCATGATATCCAAAACCTTGACAATTAAAACACTTGAATGTTATCTCGAAACAAAGATTGAAAACGACCAGAAGCATAATGGAAAATGTGACAACCCCGTTCCATATTATACTATTAAGTCATAATTATACTTGTGATTATGTGCTTAATGTGAATTTGGATGCTATCATGTGATTATGTATGTTTTTGAATTCATATATGTTCATCGTAGGAAAATCTGTTCAGTATTCAGTAATAAACTGAAATTGAGGATCATAGAGGCGATAGAAACCAAAATTGACCGCATCATTATGATTGGCATAATTTTTAGAGCCTACGGTGAAATTTAATTAAAAATTGATTCAAATCGAATTAATTAGATTAAATTGATTAAACTTAAGTAAGATTGTTTAGCCTTAATTAAGCTTAATTAGCCTAAGCTAATCACTCACTATATATATGATGAGATAAGTGCCTAGGCTTATAATTTTGAGTCCATCCTCAACATTTGGCTGAGATTATACACTACACTATAGAGAGAGAGAGTGTGAGAAATCAAGGGAGAGAAGGGGAAAGCTTGAGGGATTGAACTCAAAGCTTGGAAATTGGAAGATTAATTCAAGATCTAGCTAAATTTGGAAGAGTTGATGGCTCTACGTGAGTAATTGAACCTCAAATTGTAAATTGAAATCATATAATTTGAGAATTCAAGAAGATAATGAAATGAGTTGTATAAATTGAGCCTAGGATGAAGAATGTGATGCTACATCATACATGAATGCATGATTTTGTAATGTTTCATGAGTTTGCGCAACATTCATGTCATTTGAAATGAAATTAGAGGCTATCTTTCACATGCATGCATGAATTACCATGTTTTAGAGTCCAATTCTGAGTATAAAAAAATCTATGGATGCAAGATTTGAAAAATAGTTCACATACATGAGGTTTGTGGTTTGAATTTTGATGAATTCATGGAATTTTAAACAATGGGTTGAAACTACCTTCAACTATATATGTTTGGGAGTGTTCTTGCATGTTTGAGTGAGTCATGCATGAATTTAGAGCCTTGGAGTTGTGTTTGAAGCTCGAACAGAATTCTGGAAATTCCAGAATTCGAGCAGTTCGCTCAAGTGATGGAAGTGTCGCTTGAGCGTACATTTCTGACTGCCAATATTTTTGCAAACATTGGAGGTTGGCTCGAGCAACCACCCTGAATTTTCAATCTTGGCTCGAGTGTAAAATGAGAGCATCCAGTACTTTTGCAGACCAAGGGGTTCGCTCGAGCGACCAGTGTTGCGCTTAAGCGAAGTGCCCTATTTCAAGAAACTTTGAAAAGTTGTTTTATGTCTCACTTTTCGTTCTTTTGCATTTCTGAGCACTCTTAGGCATACATTGAGCATTCTAAATGAACTAAAGAGATGGAAAGAAGCCTAATAAATATAAGTGAATTACAGAATGGATTGAATTGTATTGTGATCCGATTTCCGTATGTGCTATGAATTGTGTAGGGTCAATCACGAGGACGAATCAACCATCTGAACACTGTAAGTAATATCTTAGTGAAGATATTTTCAAGTACGATATTTTCTAAATACTTCCTATGTAGTAAGTTTTCCGAACTCATGAATCCGAACTCATGATTAGGCTGATGATGTCACTGATCACAAGTCCACGTCTGGTTTCTATATGTTTCTTGACGATTCATTGATCTCTTGGAAAAGCAAGAAGCAAACTGTTGTTGCGCGCTCCACTGTCGAAGCTGAGTACTGTGTTATGGCTCATGCTACTGCTAAGATTGTTTAACTTCGTTGTCTCTTATCTGATTTGGGTGTCCCTCAGTCTTCTCTAACCTCCTTCTACTGTGACAACCGCAGTGCTATTCAGATTGCCTATAACATTGTCTTCCATGAGCAGACGAAGCACATTGAAATTGATTGTCACTTTGTCCGTCAGCATCTGCAGTCTGGCTATATCTTGTTTCCTTTCATCTCTTCGACTCTACAACTTGATGACTTCTTCATCAAGACTCACACCACTGCTCGGTTTCAGTTTCTTCTTGGCAAACTCTCAATGTTTTATGCTAAATCACCTTGAGTTTGAGCGGAGGTGTAAGAATATTAGGTTTATGTATATATATGGTAGTATATATTCTGTATATATTAGAGATTGAGCTTATATTTTTGTTTCCTTCTTCAGTTCTAGGGTTTGAATTGTTATATATACTGATGTATTCTTGTATCAATTACACAATATACAGTTTCGTTCAGAAATCTTACAGGCATATACATAGACATGGACATTTCTTTGGATTTAGCCGTACAGTTGGATTGTATTATACTGTGTTTGGTTGTATTTTTATTTCCTTGGAATTTGAAGTTGATATAGTTAAACTTTTGACATGATTGAGAATAGAATGAAAACATATATTACATGAAACAGGTTGTTGGGAAATATATTTTGAATGGTTGAGAATTATAGATAGATTATTATTATTTATATGGGCAGATTACAGGTTGTGGGGAAGTGTTTTTGTGAAAAGTTCAGAATTGAATGGATTTATATATAAATATAAATGCGACTTTTTGGCAACTTAGTCGCCAAAGGTCTAAATTTCGACATTTGCCTACTAAATTTTTAATCGTCAAAGGTTTATATAAAAAATTATATAACTTTCTAAAAAATATATGACGACTAAATTTAAAACTGTTAAAACCTATCACCTACTTCACCCACTTAAACCTACTCCACTAAACCTAACCCACTACACCACTACCACCTCACCTACTCCACTAAATCTAACCCACTACACCACTACCACCTCCACTTCACCTACTCCTTACCTACTACACACTCACCCTCTTCTATATATAAGAATCATGAATCATTGTAATATCAATATACATCAATCAATAATACTACAATTTTACAAAAACATATGGTAACTAAATATTTAGTCGCCAAAGATTTTACTTAGCTAATAAAAATATTTTAGTTTGCAAACATTAAAAATACTTTTGCCGTTGAGGTGTTGGCAACAAACATGGCAACTAATGTTTTTAGCCAGCAAAAGATTTTAGCGACTAAAATAATGCTTTTAGTGACTAAATTTTTGGTCGCTAAATGTGATATTTCTTGTGGTACTCCTAAAGGTGGTTTTTATTCTTCCATCTGACAAAGCAATTACAAAGATCTAAACTGCTATTAGAATATAAGAGGTTGTGTTTGATTCAATAGCAAGCATTACCCACCCCAGCCTTCTTGTGTGGGTTCAAGTCAAGAAATCAGTCTCTCCACAAAAATTTTGAGGGCAAGGAGACCTAAATCTCCCAAACCCTGCTACAAGTGAGAGCCTTGTGCACTGGGTACAACCTTAACTCATTATTAGAGCAAAGAAAAAGAAGAAAGGAAACCATACAGGTTCAGTTTGTTTATGAAATGCTTCCAGCCTTGACTTCAGAACAGCTGCAGTATCATCTTTACGTTGAATCAAAGGTTCTCCCGTGACCTTCAAAAATTTAATTAAAAGAAGGGAAAAAAAAAAGAGGCAAGTTTATTACATTAAAAAACATCAATCACTTTGATAGAACATTAAACAAAGGTGCAGCCTGTATCAGAAGATTTTAAAGAGCTGTGGATTAAATCAGACAAGCAGTAAAAGAGAGACCAAACTCCAATACATTAAGAAGTAAAATAAATATAAATGTATTGGAAGATTGCTAAAGAGGCATGGACACAGGCACGTGACACGACACGGGAATTTTAAAAAAATGTAAAACATGACACACGGGGGGCATGTCCAAAATAAATAATTTAATATATTTATTATATGTCATATCTTTGAATATTTCAGTCAAACTTGTAATGTATTTCATGTGTCTTAAGTGTTCGGAAGTGTTGTGTTGTATTGATGTTAGACACAACACGTTACCTTCTTAGAGTGTCCGTGCTTCTTAGGAAGACTGTTATCCCAATACATGTAGCAGCAAAATTATCTCCCATACACTGACACACAAATACATAACACCACAAAATGCTATATGTGCAGGTAGTATGCTAGAATGTATATATGGTACCAAACTGATGTATGCTAGAAACAATAATGCCCTGTTAACAATCACATTTTCATGGATAATGAAAGAAATGGTGAAAATTCATAGTCGTACATCATCTACGCCAGAAACTTTAGGAGGTGAGTATTTTGTGTGGTATGTCCGACCACTAGCAGGGTGGATCCAGCGACCTGTAATCCTCTCCTCCAAGATTGCATCATCAATTGCAAAGTTGAGAACCTTATCAACCTTAACCCCACGCTTTTCAAGCATCTCATCAAGCTACATAACAAAGGCGAGGTTTGGATCACGTAAATAAGAAAAAATGCTGAGGAAAAAAATTAAGGCATATAAAGAATTAATCCAGTGTCCATATCTCAAACTAAGGCAAGACCTTTTGTGCTTGGACCACGGTCCTTGGAAATCCATCAAGGATGAAACCTTTTTGACATGAAGGCTTCTTCAATGCTTCATCAATCATCCCAACAACCAAATCATCAGAAACAAGTTCTCCCTGAAAAAATATTAGAAAAACAATTTAGGGTAAGAAGAGCCATGTTGCAAAGTTTATGCAACCACGAAACCTGAAACTCACCTTGTCCATAGCTTCTTTGGCCTTAATACCAAGAGGGGTTTTAGCAGCAACAGCAGCCCTCAGCATATCACCAGTAGCCAAGTGACACAAACAATACTCATCCTTAATGATTGGGGATTGAGTGCCTTTTCCAGATCCAGGTGGGCCTGTCAAACTTCATTTTTTTAAGAAAATGAACATTGAAATAGTTGACCAGAAAAAAACATATACAATTAGGGATTCCTGACAGCTTCGTGGCAATTAGTCTTTGAAATGTGATAGAATGTTGAAGACCGTTAGTAAGATTCGTACCATTTTATTTTTTTATCAGGCATTCTATATAAAGATTGCTGAAACAAACTCAGAAATCAGAATAATTAGGTGATAGAAAATATATTATCATTGTGTTTGGCAGTGTTGAATTTATGCTTTGGATTTTGGAATTGAAGGTACATTTTAGTTTGAATCTTGAATTATAATGGCCCACATAGGGATGGCAATGGGGCGGATATCACTTCCCCATCCCCATTCCCCTATTATAATTTTTCCCCATTCTCCATTCTCCATCCCCCATGGGGACTATCCTCCCCATCCCCTCATGGGCTTGGGTTTTCCCACTTGACCCTTAAAAAAAACCCTTTTTTTTTTAAGGTTCACAGCTAAAGCCAAATACACATTAATTTCGGACTGTCCTACAATTTTTATTGGTCTAAAATTGCATCTCACCTGCCTCTCTCTCTCTCTCTCTCTCTCTCCCTCTCTCCATATATATATATATATGGATATATATTTACTTCCATTAAAAGCAAAAGAAAGGTTACTTCAGAGACATCTTGCAGTTGTTTCTATACTAATCCCAAATCCTACACCCTACACGTGGCAATCTTCCACTAATCCTAGATTCATCGTACACGTGGCAATCACACAAAACCTTACTTCAGATATCCCCACACCACATCACATCTTAATTACAAGGGCCACCCCACACCTTACACGTTTCCTCACCATTATCTTCTTCACTCTTCAAAGAAAAAGACAGATAACAAATAAACTGAGGAGGATTGTTTTGAAACAGAGAGATGGGATGATGATCAAATCAGAGACTTTGATGCTCTTACTGGTCAATCTAGCTGGGATTATGGAGGGAGCGGACGAGTCTCTACTTCCTGGAATCAATCGGAGGATCAACAGAGCTTTTGAAGATCGACCTCAGCTCAAATCGGTTTTTTGGAAAAATCCCAGTAAGCTTGAAGAATCTGAGGAATTTGAAGTTTCTATGCATGGGTTAAAATTGATTTTGCACAAGAGAAAGAGAAACGAGAGAATGAGTGACAGAATGAAAAATCTAGCTGTAGATAGGGTTTCTATGCATGGGTTAAAATTGATTTTGCACAAGAGAAAGAGAAACGAGAGAATGAGTGACAGAATGAAAAATCTAGCTGTAGATAGGGATATGGGGAAATGGGCGGGTACCCATCCCTGACCCATCCCCAATGGAGATTTAAATAATATCACCTACCCAACCCAACGGGTAGAAGAAATGGAGAAATCCCATGCATTTGGGTCGGGTCTCCATGGGTATCCACTGGATAGATTATTCATTGCCATCCCTAGGCCCACAAACTCTCTCTCTAACAACATCCTGTCATTTGAAAATAACCACTTAATCCATTGTGCTTGTGGTGAACTAAAACGCACCAATATTTTTCATTAAGGACACTTGTAAATCAACCTAAACACCCAAATACCCTCATCTTCTTCATATGTTATGAACTAAAATCTTCAATCTTCAATCTTCAATTTACCCGCTGTGGTGTGGTTAGGTTATGTGCACATAACTCCTATCATTTGAAAATACAGATGTTGATAATGCACTTGCCGTTAATTTGAATAAAAAATGTGATGGTGCATTTTAGTGGTAATTTTCAAATAACAGGGTTGTGCACACATGGCCCACACCACAGGGGTAATGTGAAATTTGTCCCATAACTTTATAGAAAGAGGCTGCATTTATTCAATTTGAATTTTAGCTACATACAAAAACATGCTGAAGTTTTTTGTTTTCAGAGTTACTATTTTGGGGAATCTAAAGAAGAAAAGAAAAGAAAAGACTGTTTTCTCTCTCTCTCTTGTTGGTTTAAGCTGAAGAGAAAAGAAAAGAAAATACAGTAATTTCTCTCGAATCTTGTTTGGATAAACTACATAGCAGAGAAGAAAAGAAACTCTTATAGGATAGATAAGAAAATAATGGTTGTGTTTGGTTACATTTTCAAATCAATTTTTGAAATGAAAAATCCAAAAAAATTGTTCGGTTTACAATTTTTGAAAAATTGTTTTCAAAATTGTTCTCTCTCCTCTCTCCTTCTCTTACATCCTACACATCAATCAACCAATTTTTTTCTCTCCTCTCTTCTTCTTTCACATCCTACACATCAATCAATCCATTTTTCTTTCACACCCATTTATTCAACTACCAAAAAAATTACAAATCATTCCAAAACTATTTTCAAAATATACAACCAAACAAGTTTTCAAATTTTCAAACTCTTTTCAAAAAAACTATCTTTCAAAATTGATTCAAAACTAAACCAAACGAAGCCAATGTTTTTTTTTTTAGTACCTAGATGGACAATGTTGGTTTTATGTTTAATAAGTAATCAACCTATTTCTTCGAGCCAATCCATACAGGTTGTGCCCCAACTTTAATTGGGGTCCGCGCTAGTAGACAGTGGGATTGATCCCCCAGATTAGTCAGTCCAATAGGCCAGATACCAAGTTATCTGGGAAAATAAATAAATAAATAAGGAAAGAAGAAAGAAAAAAAAGAAGAAGTAATATACCCATTTCTTTTCTCTCCTAGTCATTCCAATTTTGGAGAGATTCAAAAAAAGTGGATTGTAAGATAAAATCAATTTCTATCTGTTTCTCCCCATTTCTCTGCTCTTAAGTAATCAAACAAGCAAGGCCAACTCCAACAGTTGCTTGACGGGGTCCCATCCCCCATCAAGCATACAAAAGCTTACAAAAAAATATATATATATTTTATATAGTTTGGTTCTTTTAAAAAATTAGGACGCCATCAAATTATAAATGTATATATATATATATATGTTCAATACAATGGTGATACTATCTTATTGGTATCATCATCCAATAATATCTTGCCATTTACCTTATCATGTATATGTGGAAATGTAATTATATTTTGCGTGTGGGGTTCACCTTCCACATCTAAGTTTATTGTTAGTGGGTAAACCACGTGTCAATACTGATATGCTATCACCGTGACACTAAATATTTACTATGTTTGGTAAACAAGTTTTAAAAATAGTTTTTGAGTTTTTTATTTTTCATGTTGTTTGTCTTTGGTGAATTTTTAAAATATCTTAAGCAAATTTTTTAAAAAACTTTTTAGATTCACTTAATTTAGGCCAAGTTTGGCAAGTTGCCAAAAAGTCAAAAAGTTAAAAAGTTACTCAAAAAGTTAAAAAGTTATCACTATTCACCAAAAGTCAAAAATTACGGCTGCACAACTCCCAATCTCAATCTTAATTTTTCCTTACACACCAATTTATACAATTTTCTAATACACATTTTTCCATAAAAAGTCAAAAAGTTAACCCAAACATTCATATTTTTTCCTCAATTTTTTAGTCTAAAAAGACAAAAAGTGTACTTATTTAAGACACTTCAAACAATCCCTTAGATACTCTTACAAAATAGAGTAGTTATAAATTTTTTTTTTTACTAAATATAAAAATTACAAAAATTCAGTATATTTTTTCACAAATATTTTATTATTTAAGTGCATCTAAAAAATAACTAAATTATCAAAAAAAAAATACTATAGACACAAAAAATTAAAAAAAAAATAATAATAACCCAGAAGTTATTTTTAAAAATTCAAAACCAAACAAAATAAATGTTGTTTAGTTTAAAAAAATTAGTTGTTAAAATTTGTAAAATTTAAGGTTATGAAGTGACCCCATCTATAAAAAAAATTTAGAGCCGCCACTGCAAAACAAGTGAACAGGACCAAGATTCTTTTCTTGTATCTCCAATTCACTCAATCCAAACCGACTTGTTGGGTTGAAACAATGAAATTTCTTTTCTTTCCACGTGTTAGCATGAACAGGACCAAGAAAGTAGCAATTATAACATCAATACGGAGTAAGCAGAAAAACTCTAACAAATGTTAGCATGAACCCCAATTTCAGCAACTTGTTCAACCAAAGGAAACAGTACTAGTAAAATCAAGGATCGAAACGTGTTACAGGTATTTCACAATTCAAATTTTGAATATATATATATATATATAGATACATATACTGTAAAAATGGGGGTAAGAGTGATTACCAATGAGAATGAGGCGTTTGTCTGGTTTGGTGGAACACTTCATGCGACGCAAGAGTTCGGTCATGAGATCTGCTGAAGGAATGTCTTCCAAATTCGCCATTAGGGTTTTTCTCTCACAAAGTTCTCGATCTCAACTGGAATTTTTTTTTTTTTTTTTTTTTTTTTTGAGGGAGAGAGAGAGAGATGAAATGGTGGTTCAACTGGATTCGAACCTTCCAACGCTTGAAGATCAAGCATCATCGGGAGCTTCTATTTACACACACACTTTCTATACATCTCCCCTCTCTACACTTCCCACACACCTCCTTCATTAAGTGTGTCTGGAGAGGAGATTTAGTGTGTGTAAATAGAAGCTCCCAGCATCATCAAGTTTGTCTGTTTCTTAAATGATGATTATACCCCCGTCTACCCAAATTCAAACTCAACTTTGGTTCCCCTTACAGTTTTCTTTTCAAAAAAAAGTTCAAAGTAAAAAAACAATGATTAAGGCACATTTAAAGTGATTTAAATAAATATATTTTAATTTTTTTTATAAAAATATATAAAAAAAATAAAAAATAAAAGTAATACTAATATAAAAATATAGGTTATATCAAATACCTCCCAATTCACTTATATGAGAACACTTTTTCCAAAGTAAAAATTTTTGCAAAAAGGTCAAAGCCAAAATTATATAAATATGTGGATGGCCAAAATAGAATACACAGATTTTAGGAGTTAAAATGATATTTTCTTTTAATAATATTAAAAATTGTATGTAGGCAAATGAGATTTTTATTAAGATTGGAAGACCAAACTTTATATAGATTTTACTAGAACAAAATTTTATTTTCCTTAATAAATAATCAAAATTATTCTATAAAAATCAATGAGACTTCTGTAAAATAGTTTTATAGGGCCATAATCTGAAGATAAATTGCTGTTTATTTTTATTCTCTCGCTACTTTCACCTTCACTTTCACATTCTTTATAACCAATGCATGTTCCCCCCCTAAATTTATAAACCTCTATACAATCAAGTATGTCGAATATTCACCGGATATTATCCACTAAATTCATTTCCCATAAGAAAACACATTTTTATTGAGGAAATCTCTTTCTCACTGAACAATTTCAAAATCATTACATCTTGGGTGCATATTACAATTCATAGTTCAAGAAATCAGAGGAAATAAAAAGAAGATGCCCTAATGGCATACAAGTTTTAAAGGCATTCTCTTGATTACACAAAAGGGTGGACATATGTCCCAAAACACATAATAGCCCTGGAGCTTCAATACATATCATCAATGAGCCATCGTGCTCCAAACAAAAATCTCCACCATCTTATCACTTGGGCGAAGTCACACCATCAAGTCTTGAAAGTTTTGTTAAATTTGGAATGAACTAATGCCTAGTAAGAATACTATTAACAGAGTATATAAATAATCGAAATGAATATGATCTAGGGTTGCAACTCGAGCGAGTTCGATTGGGTTGGGAGGTTGTCCAAGCCCCGCCCAAGTTGTGCTAAGACCTCTGCTGAAGGAATGTCTTCCAAATTCGCCATTAGGGTTTTTCTCTCACAAAGTTCTCGATCTCAACTGGAATTTTTTTTTTTTTTTTTTTTATTTTGAGGGAGAGAGAGAGAGATGAAATGGTGGTTCAACTGGATTCGAACCTTCCAACGCTTGAAGATCAAGCATCATCAAGTTCGTCTGTTTCTTAAATGACGATTATACCCCCGTCTACCCAAATTCAAACTCAACTTTGGCTCCCCTTACAGTTTTCTTTTCAAAAAAAAGTTCAAAGTAAAAAAACAATGATTAAGACACATTTAAGGTGATTTAAATAAATATATTTTAATTTTTTTATAAAAATATATATAAAAAAAAAGTAATGTAACCAAAATAAATATTCTAATATAAAAATATAGGTTATATCAAATACCTCCCAATTCACTTCTATGAGAACACTTTTTCCAAAGTAAAAATTTTTGCAAAAAGGTCAAAGCCAAAATTATATAAATATGTGGATGGCCAAAATAGAATACACAGATTTTAGGAGTTAAAATGATATTTTCTTTTAATAATATTAAAAATTGTATGTAGGCAAATGAGATTTTTATTAAGATTGGAAGACCAAACTTTATATAGATTTTACGAGAAAAAAATTTTATTTTCTTTTATAAATAATCAAAATTATTCTATAAAAATCATTGAGACTTCTGTAAAATAGTTTTATAGGGCCATAATCTGAAGATAAATTGCTATTTATTTTTATTCTCTCGCTACTTTCACCTTCACTTTCACATTCTTTATAACCAATGCATGTACCCCCCAAATTTATAAACCTCTATACAATCAAATATGTCGAATATTCACCGGATATTATCAACTAAATTCATTTCCCATAAGAAAACACATTGAGGAAAATATTGTCTTTTATTGAGTAAGGCCTAGTTTGGGAAGACTAAATAAGTGCACTTTTTGACTTTTTATGAAATATGGGTTGGGTTTGAAGTGATGTGTTAGAGAGGTGATGTGACTTAAATAAGATAATGTGACTTAAATAGGATAGTGACTTTTTGACTTTTTGTCTTTTTTGTCTCATGCCAAACTTGGCCTAAATCTCTTTCTCACTGAACAATTTCAAAATCATTACATCTTGGGTACATATTACAATTCATAGTTCAAGAAATCAGAGGAAATAAAAAGAAGATGCCCTAATGGCGTACAAGTTTTAAAGGCATTCTCTTGATTACACAAAAGGGTGGACATATGTCCCAAAACACATAATAGCCCTGGAGCTTCGATACATATCATCAATGAGCCATCGTGCTCTAAACAAAAATCTCCACCATCTTATCACTTGGGCGAAGTCACACCATCAAGTCTTGAAAGTTTTGTTAAATTTGGAATGAACTAATGCCTAGTAGGAATACTATTAACAGAGTATATAAATAATCGAAATGAATATGATCTAGGGTTGCAACTCGAGCGAGTTCGATTGGGTTGGGAGGTTGTCCAAGCCCCGCCCAAGTTGTGCTAAGACCAATCTAGGCCCGCCCAGGCCGGAATTGTAACCCAAGGTTGTCTGTCCAAGCCTGACCCAAGATAAATCCGAATTGCCTGAGTTGCCCGAATTATAAATGAATTTTAGTTTTTTTTAATTTTTATTTTATTTTATTGCAACTATATTATTAAATTATTAAAATTTGACTTTATTTACATTTTTTTTTATTTATAGAAAATCATTAATACTATCAAAATAAATAATTCATACAATATAAGAGAGAGATGCCACTATAGTAGTCCTTACAATTTATGAGTGAAAATAAAAAAGTATGATTTTATGTTATTTGTATATATAATATATATTCAATATGATTTAATAATCTAAATTGCTTTAATATCATGTAATGACTAATAATTTATATGTATATTTAATAATTTTATATATCTATATATGTATAATTCAGGTTTCAAGTTGTTCGGATTGTTTGACGTCTTTGCCTAAGCCGATCCAAATTTAATGCAGGCTTTTGAATTTTTACCTAAGCCCGTATCAAATTTGAAAATATTTTGTCCAAGCCCTAAAAAAAATCGGGTTAGGTTCGGGTTGCTCTGGTTGAGCTCGCTCAAGTTGCACCCCCAATACGATCATACGATGCATATGCCATGATAAAATCCATGTTTTTTTTTTCTCTTTTAAAACAAATGATACTCAATGCATAATTTACTATGTCAAAACCTCATCATCAACAGTGGGCGCGGTAAATATGCAATGAGATCCCAAGCAAGAGCCGAAAACCATTGTATACATATTTATATATTGACAATATTTGCAGGCTTTTGAATTTTTACCTAAGCTCGTATCAAATTTGAAAATATTTTGTCCAAGCCCTAAAAAAAATTGGGTTAGGTTCGGGTTGCTCTGGTTGAGCTCGCTCAAGTTGCACCCCAAATACGATCATACGATGCATATGCCATGATAAAATCCATGTTTTTTTTTTCTCTTTTAAAACAAATGATACTCAATGCATAATTTACTATGTCAAAACCTCATCATCAACAGTGGGCGCGGTAAATATGCAATGAGATCCCAAGCAAGAGCCGAAAACCATTGTATACATATTTATATATTGACAATATTTTCATATTTGTCGACTCTAAAAACGGTGGGGCTAGTGGACACCCAAAATATTTTCTCACATTTGTTGGGCAATAAACTCAAAACAGGGCAATTGGGCACCTTGACTCCCTGCCCGGGTACCAATACAATACTCATCTCGTTTCCAAAACCTGACTTAACTACCCGGACTCATACACAATAACCTCCCTTTCAACATTTCCAAATATCCAAGGGAAGGGATTATAATGATTATGGAACAAAACCATGGAAGTGCGACATGATGCATTAATTTGTAAATGTCTTGATTTACCTAAGGTTCATCAAATCCTTCAATAAAGTTTATACATAATCAACAATTGAAAGAATTTCAAATTTCCACATTTCAACATATCTAATTCTTCCTATCACAATGTACATTTCCAAAATGTTCCAAAATCTAAATTCATGCTCATTTCTACTAAACATCCATTCAATTTCTTGATTTAAGGTTCCATTGAATAAAACTTCATCTTTTAAGCAAAGTTCGAAACTAGGGTTTGGATAAAATTGGGGGTTTTTCCCTCTCTTGCATCATTGAAACAAGTAATTCTCATCAAAAACCCTTATCATACATAATCTTTCAAAAGCTTTCAAAACTTTGGGTAAAACCCCTTTTTGATACATAAAAACTCATTTAATACAACACAATCATCTCATACATAGGGCTACAAACGAACCGAGCTATTCATGAACAAGCTCAGCTCGGCTCGGCTCGTTTAGTAAACGAGCCGAGCTCGAGCTCGCATAAGCTCTTTATTTAAATTATATAATAAATACATTATTTATATATTAAAAATATATAAATATATATAAATAATAATATAAATACATTTATTATATATTAAATAATATTAAAAAAAAATTATCGAGCTGAGCTTGAGTTTCATTAAAATTAACGAGCCAAACCGAGCCGAGCTCGAGCCCAGTTCCTTATCGAGCCGAGCTCGAGCTCGAGCTCAATAAACGAACTCGATAAGTAAACGAGCCGAGCTCAAGCTTAGCAAAGCTCGGCTCGACTCGGTTCGATGCAGGCCTCATACATAGATAAAACTAAGAAAATACCGAACATATATCTCAAATTATAGATGTACTAAGTTAAGAGTACCCTTACCTCAAACATGAAAGCTAAAAGATGGAGATCTAACAAGAATTTCAAGGAGAGCGCAAACCAATTGGTCAAGATATTGATCTATGCTTGTACTTCACTTTTAATACACGATCAAGGGTGGATTCTTGGTGAAAATTAAATGAAACCAAGGTTTTGAGGTCTAGGGGTTTAGATATGGAGGAGAGGGAGAGAAAAGAGAGAGAAAAAGAGTTGCCCAAGAAGGGGATTTAAAGTGCTGACTTCGAACAAACCGCTCAAGCGGTCAAAGCTGCGCTTGAGTGGTGAAATTAAGCTCTTAGAATTTCTAAATCTCTAACAGACTACTCGAGCGGTCGAAAGTGTGCTTGAGTGGACTATGCACACAACTTAGGTACTTAAATTTCAAATGGGCATATCTCTCTCGTCTGAACTCCGTTTTGAGCCATTCTTGTGTCTAAATCAAAGTCTTGGAAAACAAAATTTCAATGGTTCTAGCCTCACATTCACATTCAAAGTATTGAGAGAGAAAAAGGTAAAAGAGTGAAGACTTCTTATGGAACAATTATTCAAATAAATGCTTTTAGTTCAATCCTACTTTATTATTATGATACCACTCCAATCAATACTGTAATGTCAATCAAAGAGGCTCTAATTACAATAATAAGAGAGTCCAAAGCAATTCCACTAGTCTAAAGGGTACGAAGTGTTATAGTGCACCCATGCTAGGCATGAAAATTCTTTAAAAAAATGCATTTTATTTTATTTTTTGCTGGCCTCTCAAAAGAGGAGCCTAAAAGGTTAAAAATATAATGTAAATAGGTAAAGTATAGCATAAATATCATTATCATTTGTTTTACTTTTAGAATTTTGGATACATCACACTTATCCCTCGTGAGGTTAAGAGAAAATACTAGCTCAATATTTTTGACACAATTACATTGACATTTTTTTAGTAAGGCTAAAGTGATTAAAAGCAATGCAAATGGTAGGTAGACACTAAAATAAACAAAGGTAAATATACATTTTAGCATAAAAAAGATGATAACATCATTTTTTTCATTCATATGACTAACGAATTACTAATAAAAAGGGACCTAACTATTACATGAATTAAAACCTTAAGGGAGAGTAGTGCAATTAAGTTAAAAGTGTGAGGTAAATTGTATTTTTTTCAAACATCAAGGGAGAAGCAATCAGAGATATCGGTTCAGTATGGTCAGTATGTAGGTAAAAATTTGCATTGAGCTGAACTGATTGAAACGGTTCGGTTCAGTTTAGTTTAATCAATTTATGATCCTTCAAACTTGAGCCACTTTTAAATATAATCACTAATCTATATAAAAATATTAAATTAGCTATTTTTCCATCATTTGAAACATATCCAATCCATCTATTTAATAAATATTTTTCAATTCCTAGATTAACAAAAAT